TTTTACAACCATAATGTTCCTCATTACCTACTCACTACACATTAGGTACACAATTTGGTCGCGAATATGTCTGCATCTATTTCTTCTTTTTATATAGTCGTAATTCCATATCAATTAATTTTAGTTTGTGATTCTCAAGTAGATAATAATTATGTACTGAGTGACTATTTTATGATTAAATACTCTTTATTTCAAAAAGTATAAATAATTTTGAAAAACAAAACAATTTACATGGCTTCTGATCGTTAAAAAAACATTTAAAAAATATCTATATATTTTTTAATATTTTTTTCCTGAACATATTTTAATGTTGTACTTTTTTTAATGACTACTTACAGTTTTTAATTCATATTCCAAAGAAGAATATTTTTCTAAGTATTTTGATACTTAAAAATCGAATTTCTGACGAGTAGATAATGAGTTATAACTTTAAATATTTACCTCATAAACTACTCATCCTAAATTCGATTATTATACATCTAAATACTCAGAACAATATGCCGCATAATCGTATGTGTAGACCGTAGGTAAACATATTGTTTTTGGAAAGAGATTTCTCAAGAATATCTTTTCATATAACAAAAGGTACTACTTAATATCTATACTATTGATTAGTTATAAACAAAATAAGCACCGAGATAAGCACTAAGACAGTTCAATGATTACAACAAATAAATTAACTTTTAATGAAATCAGCTTTCAGGATAAATTGCTACTCACATAATTAAAGCAGCGATGGGAGGGAAGAAAGGGAGTGTTCTGTTTCAAGTAATATTATGAAATTACATTGATAATTTTTTCTGATACATTAGGTGGTATTTAATATTTGCTCTGATACGAATTTGTTGATATTAATTATATATTTTATTCTTGTTCGAGACAAATGACTATGATAATATTTATCTATATAAGTTTTTTTATGATTGTCTTGCTACTATTAGATCCCAGGTATTTGTCTAAATAGATTCCGTAAGTTTGGTTTCCATTGATTTTGTACGTAACTACGTAAGGTATACCTAGGTATAACAATACGAGATAATTGTTTAATACATTTCTAATAGTGATTTATTGGAATGGGATAATATTCAGTGTTTCAGTGTATTGCTAAAATAGTCATGTTTCATAAACATTTAACTCGACTATTCACATATTATTAAAATATAGCAATTTTTCATTTTTATTATTTCGTAATCCAATGTAGATTATTGTGCAGACAAAATGGGTTCGTAATAAATTACAATGTATCTGGACAATGAATTATAGCCTTTTGGTAAAATTGTAAAACGCAATACCATCAACCTAAAATGTCACACCAAACATGCTAATTTGATGGTGTGTATTTATCTATTTTCGATTATATTCGATAGGATGAATGCTGAATGAATGATGACTTGACTGGTTAATTACAGGAAATGCACAAATTACTTTTTTTTTAATTTCGTGATTGATCATTTTATAAAAATTTGTTTTGTTACACCTTTTTTTTTTTAGACAGGTTGGTTCATCCAAGTGTCTATGAAACACAAATTGCAGGAAATTTAAAACGTGTTCATGAGTAACAGTTTTCGCCTATTTGTTTGGGCGTTGGAATTGTATTTATTATTCAGGGACTACCTATTTCATAATTTTTTTATTTTGAAGGTCAATTGTTTCTTTTTCTAATATTCTAATATCTATAGTAAATTATTAGTCTAGATTCATCAACGACTATTATTTAGCATATTTTCTATTATTTTGATTACTTATACTCGACTTACAGCAATTTTTATTGCAATTCAGTTGAAATTTTGTGTTGACTTGATCACAATAAATACTATAATAGTATATTAGTAATACTTTGTCAGCTTGGAAAATGGAATGAGTAATTTTTTGTTGTGTTTTGTGTAAAAATCAGCATAAATATTAAGAACGGTGCTCGGTAAGCGTCTGACAACTGACAATTCAAACTTTAGTTGCGTCAACTTATTTATTGCTTTATTACGTGTTAATATTCTTAAACATAACCAGCCTATGTTGAATATATTATTACCTCCTTTCAATTTTAGAACCAACCAATTTGCAACATCATATGAATTTATCCTGTTTTAAATAAAAAATAGAAATGAAATTATAATTGTAAAACATATTATTATTATCAGTATATTATAAATGTACAAATAAAAATTGTTTTAATGATTAGTCACTAAGTTATAAGACTACCTATAATATGCATTTTAAAGTTAAGAACCAATAGTCGAGTGATAACACAAGAGTACAAGACACAAATCAGTAGTTGATCACAAGAATGTTAGCAATTTAATCTGTTAACAATATTTTCCCCCTCAATTTTAGGTTTTGTGTTAACAAATCAATGTATTCTAATCCGACGGTACGATAGCAGTTTAAATAGCGTTTAGTTTGACTTACAAATTTTGTCGAATATAGGTGCTGTATAAATATCTCGAATCAGTTAAAAGTGCTTGTAATAATAATTAACCATTCGTTAATTTCTACATTCTAACAAGTATATAAATAACAATAAATTATTAATATCTTTTAAATTTTCGTTCTGTTCCAGTTATTCTTATTACTTTAAATTTAAATTGATTCTATTTTAAATTGGTTTACATTAAAAGTAATCAAATGACTAACATTAAATTTATGAAATTAGATTTTATTAAATTTATTCTTGAAAATACGCTTATACAACACAGGGGTTCAAAATCCAATAATATTCCGGGTTTAAAAGTGATGTATTATTTATAAATTAGGTTTATATAACTATTTCTGTCGCTCTTTATCGTAGTATTGTAAAAATACAAAGTTTACCTAGAAAGTAAACATGATATAATACAATTAAGATAAAGGACTATCTATATTTCCATATCAATTGTTCTGATTATTATTTATTGTGGTTAGATAATACTATAATAGAAACTTACTATCATATTATAAAATTTAAATATTTGTTTCATTTATTTCAGTTCTGTATTATAGTCTATAAAGCTTAATATTGTTTGTATCAATGGTTTATACTATGTATATTGTGTTCTACCAGAATTTTATTTGTTCTGACGTCGATGCTAGCCGCAGAAAATAAATTTAAAAAACTTTAATACTATTGTCTTGAATACAGAATTGTGTGTCGAAAAATGTATAGTTAAGATAACTATATATTTTATAGAATTATGCTTTAAAAAAATGTATTAATTTTAAATATATTATTCAAGTGTGTTAATAGTTGACAGTTATAGATAATATCTCAGTATTTGTACTGAATTTTAATTTTAATTATACGACTCGAAACAGAATAACAGAACATAATTATAAGATGCAATTGTTCTTATGACGTTTTCATTATTTATCTAATTAATTATGGTTCTACTATTATAGTACTATGGGAGGCTGTACTCATTTAACTATATAAGCACAGTTTAATATAATCTGTGATATAAGTGACAGTTTTTAAATTAATTAATTATTTATATTATGGTTGTTGTTCTAAGACATGAATATATATATATCAACTACAAAAAAAGGGTTCAAGCAGTATAGTCCATGCACTTATTCGAGTAACGAATAAGACAATAAATTTGGTTCGATTAACCATGTAAAAAATGATAAGTAAAATACTGTTACTCTTATAAGTGTAATTTTAAACAGGCTTTGCACCACCTGACGGTGTTGTGAAAATGACAACATCCTTCGCAACGTTGATTCTTCGTGTCTTATTTTGTTCGTATAGTTACTCTTATTAGTTATGTTCATCTGCAATCGCCAATCATGCTTATAATTATAATCTCGATGCCCTATGGCGCCTAGTCCGCGGACCACCTCGCTATTTGGAAATCAAATAATATCGGACCGATCTAAATTGAATTTGCGCTTAAGAATTCGCCACACACGTATAACATGTACTAGGTAGAGTATATTATAATATTATACACACTTTATTCGTGTTGCATATCGCGATATCATACAATGTTAAAATATGATCGATGATATTCGTCTGTACAACATAATATTATACACCAATGTGCGGAATATCGTTGTTGTTCTAAGTGGGTCCGTTGAAAAAAATGATCCTCCGACCGGCAACTCGATAAATATCCGGTGTAAAACCGCATTGGCGTGTGCTATTATACGAGTTATTCACACACGTGTATTGTGTGTGTGTAAGTATATATATATATATAAAATATATAACATATACATTATATTATATGCGAGCGCGTATGGAGTTCGATTGACAATCTCATTTTCGTACGAGGCCCGAGGCGGCTGTCCATTTCAAGGTCTGCACTCTCTGCACACTCCACTCTCCGCGTTAAAAAAAATAAAAAATTAAATTAAAAAAATAAAAAATAAATCTCGTTCCGCAGCAGCAGCTCTTCGCACAGCAGCCTTTCATTCCACATTCTCATGAATCCAGCCGACGGACGCGTGTCGATCCAACGCTCAGCGGCGTACTTGCACCTATTATAATAATACACACACGGGCGCGCGTGTAAATGATAATACTATATATAATAACAATATTATCGTGTGTGTATATATAATATAAGGCGCATACACGTGTGTGTACCGTAGCAGTCGTTGCGATCGCCGTCGTCGGAGCAGACATCAGTCGTAGTAGTATACCGGTTGTGGTAGTGTCGGTTGTCTAACGGTCGTCGTGTGTAATATAATATTATCACTCGTTGTCCGTCCGAACGTCGTTTCCGAGTACCTAACCTACCCACGTTTAAGTCTAAAATTCGCCGTTCCACCCGCAAACCGTGTTCAGTATTATAATATTATGGCGGACGTACCCCGCCGTACGACGTACGTATTGTATTTTAATTATAATCATTTGCTACTGTTATATTATAGTAATAATAATATAATGTACCTAATGCGATTATATTTTAGAATATTATTTAAATATTATGTAAAGCAAATTTGGCGTGCCATCGTCGGAAGCGCGTTTTTTCGTCTAAATATTTTTTATCGACGTTTTGAATTGGTGATGTGTTTTGCAGATGAAATCGACGTCGCATCCGGAATACCTCTCATCTACACGACCGGTCAGAGATAAGTTATGATACCAGTTTTATGATATCCGACAGATACAAACACGTCCTGAGTCTCGGCCCGGTTTACGCCGACCAATAACACTAAAATGGTGGTAGATCACAGTGGATCTAACAGTCCAGGTAAAAAAAAATTATTTTATTTTAAATTGTAAAGTTTAGCTAGTTAATATTCCTCTTTTTTTCCCCCATCGTGTATGTATACGTGACGAGATAATATATAATTTGACGCTGTGTGTTTGCCCGCTTTCAAAAAAATTCGTAATCGGCCACAGGAATGTATGGAATAGTTATTGTCGTGTCTAAAAATCACATATTACGTTTAAAACCTTAAACTAAAAAAAAAACCGCACGTCTACCATGCTGCCTGTGCGATTATCTGCGTATTGCGCGCTAAATAAGCACAGCGAGACAACCCCGCGACGATTCGCAAAAGATTAGCAAAGTCGTTGTTTGAAATATTATTATAAGTACGTTGCACCCATTAATCATCGTGAACTTGGTTCTTCGCAATCCGACCGAAAACCTGATTGATTATTTTATGGTACTTATATATTATTTTACGTAGGTAGCTATGTTACACTGGTGCGTTTTTACATAGTTTTGAGTCTGTACCTGTATACATTAATTACGTATGCGGTTTTTATTTTTTGAAATTCGGCCAACAATAATTCGCTTAACGTGTTTAATACATTTATCAGGAATAACGGTTTAACGCGTATTGGTATTATATTTTATACGCATGCCATGTAACATGTAACGATTTTAATGAATTCATGTGTGTCGTAATAGCATTTTAACTGGCAGTATAATATAGACGAGTGTAGGCACACGATATTCCTTGATGTAGCCTTACAAACTATACAAACCAACTATAATTGTGAAACGTTTCGTTACACTTTTCAAAATATAAAAATTCACGACGACACGACGAAGTGAACAAAAACTGTTGTTGTTACTACGCACCTACGCCGTTCAGGAATTATTTCGGTTGCGACCACCTCTAAAACCGCGTGTACTGTGTAGTAGATGTTCGTTTATTTCTCGGTTAGGACGACGTAGTTTTTTCTTTCTTCCTCAAAAACGCGTAGTGGTAGGTACCCAATACAACAACAATACTAATATAATACTACATACCCGCCTCACATGCGTATAATACTATAATATAATATTATGTGGCTTGCCCATTCATGGTTGTATTGTAATAAAGTCTCGGACCACTTGTATAGTCACCACCACTGCCGCCGCCTCCACGTGAATCCGTGCGTTCTCGGCTCGGCTCGACGTTCGATCATAATCGAAAAGCGAAAAAAAATAGTATAATATAAACATAATATAACATGCACACGAAAACAATGCCATTGTACGGATTCTTCCAATTTCTCTCTCTCTCTCTCTCTCTCTCTCTCTCTCTTTCTCTCTTTCTTTATCTCTGTGCATAATAATATTAACGCGTGCTTGCGAGCAATATTGTCAGAGTTGAAGAAGAAAAAGAAACGATCGTTTTATTATTATTTCGACAGCGATCTCTGCAGTGTAACGGTCGTGTTAGTTCTCGATGATCAGATTTTCCGCGTACACCTAGCTCGGATTGATTTTTAAGGGATTTCGAAAATCCGTTCGGTTCTGAACGTCGATTAATGAAATACGCTTGATATTGAAAAAAATGTTAAGACTTTATTGACGCCGAACAACTTTTAAATCTCCGACTCTCGTACAACCGCCGCCGCCGTTGTCTTCTTATTATTTTTTTCTTCTCGTGTCACAACAGTTGCATATTTCGACCGATTTCGAAGTATAATTATTATTATAATATTGAACGGACTGCCCGAACTTTGGTCCTTTTACGCGCGTCGTGCAGGCTGTGGCGGCAGTCACACCGAATAAAAATCACTATTATAGACCGGCGACTATTAAACCGTATTGTAGTGCATTATATGCGTATCGTCATTATTATTATTATGTGACATACACTTCATACTAATATCATATAGTAGTGAAACCGGCGGCGGCGCGTCGTGGTGTCGGGCTCAACCAACTGCAGTCGTTGATGAATTCGGCCTTTGACGTGCCACGATCGTTATTACAACGATATGGACCCTCCTAACGGCGGCGGTAAAAAAATCTAGTCATATTATGTATACACGCGTATCTATTGTCGTTTTTCTTTACAAACTATATCTCATCATCTCGAGAAACTGCAAAACTCGATCATCTCCCGCAAGTCGAAATCATCACACACCTCTTATACACTCCAAGTGGAAACTGTCCGCGTTTTCCGAGTCTTTTTAGGCGTTCCGTCGTCTCGTCAAACAAATGCGCGCACCTCTGGTTATTTTATTCACCATAACGATAATATTACACCAGTCACACGCCTATCGTTTACGGCGATTTCGAAATTTCGACGGCTTAATGTAATATTGTATTTATAATCATTTTTCCAGACACAAAATTCAATAATGGCAGGGTAAAAAACCAAGAAACTATCGATCTCAAAATCAAAAGTAAGTACCTAGTGCATGCCCGACGTTCATGTTTTTACGGCGTGCTCATACAATATTGTGATATCTCTATTCACTGTGGTGTACTTGAATAATGTTGTGCGGTGTTTTCGTCTTTTTTTCAGGCGGGACGTTAGACAGATACGAAAAAAAATTAGATGCCGTCGAAAATGGTTCGTTTCCCCCCACCAAAGAGGTGGCAGATTTCGAACAAGCTATTGAACTCACTGGTAATTGCAAATTCTAATGTTTCGTAATATTTATACATTTTACAGGAGTCTTCGATTATCTATAATCTATATATTCCCAATACCCATGTTTTATATAATATTATGTGTCTCTTAGTTATTTGTATAACAATTATAGATGATGTGGTCATCAACGTTCATGATTTTAGAACATTCTAATGAAATCACACAAATTAATTTATTTTTGTACACATTTTACCAAAAAATATTTGTCAATTTTGTCATATATGCCTTACAAAAATGACCACTGATCAGTGATTATTAATAAATAACAATTACAATAATTAACACAAGGCCAATCAGTGGAATTTCACCTTTAATCAACAAAAGTTTTAATTTTTGGGTTTGATATTTTATCTTCAAACGTAAATATTTTTATAAATATAGTATATTTCTAAAGACCCTATGTGTTAGGTATACCTATTTCATACTCTAAAATATCAACAAATGATTATAATTGATTATATTATTTTATCGTTATTATTATTTTTTAATATCAATACAATTCTATTCTATAGTTGTAACCAATTTTTAGTTTAATTATCAGCATTATTGTCTCTTTAGGTTATGGAAAATTCCATTATTTACTGTTGGTTGTGTGCGGTTTTGTCAGCACCAGTGAAGAAATGGATGTTATATGCATGTCATTCATATTACCATCAGCCCAATGTGATCTTAAGCTAAATACGTCTTCCAAAGGATGGCTAAATTCAATTATATTCATAGGTTAGTGTGATTATATTTTAATACTCATATTTATCATCCACTTAATGAGTATTTAATTAATATTATGTTCTAGGTATGATGGCTGGTGCATACATTTGGGGTTCGCTAGCTGATGCATTGGGGCGTCGTAAAGTATTAATTGTTATCAGTTTTATGAATGCCTTGTGTATTGTTGCATCCACTTTTGCACAATCTTATGGTGTATTCATGTTCTTTAGATTTTTAAATGGAGCTGCGTAAGTTAATGTGACGGATGTAAATCAATAAACTTTTCTTAACTACTTTTTAATTAATTTAGATTGGGCGGCAGTGGACCAGTTATATGGTCATACTTTGCCGAATTCCAGCCTAAGAACAAACGTGGTTCAATGTTGAGTTCGATGGCAGCATTTTGGACACTTGGAAATTTATTTGTAGCATGTGAGTAATAGATTATTATTGCAGTAATAATTTTAATATTAATGTTATGTAATTTATTTAGCATTAGCATGGATCATCATACCACAAGATATTGGCTATAGGTCTCCTACGTTTTTATACAATTCTTGGAGAATATTTTTGGCCATATGTTCCATTCCTAGCGTACTTGTTGCTGTGTTCCTGTTTTTCTTACCAGAGAGTCCAAAGTTTCTATTGACCCGTAATGATCACAAAAAAGCGTTAGAAGTATTCAAGCAAATATATGCTACTAATACCGGAAACGATCCAGAAATGTACCCAGTAAGTTTTATTAATTTCTTATAGTGTTAGTGTAGAATGTAGAACCTGTAAAATGTTTAATGTCTCCAAAAATAATTTATATAAAAATGTAAAAATAAATGTGCTGTCATTTTTATATAGCTTAAAAATATGCAACAGTTAAGAGATATTAAATTATGTAATTTAAATTAATTATTAAAAACAATTAAAAGTTTAAACGAGTTTATAATGTCCCAATTTATTCTTTTTTGAAGTTACATGTTAGGCCCTTGTCAATATCAATGGTCCTGCAATGTATTTATTGGCTGTGATTTCCAGAATTGTTGTGAATCTAATTTATTTATAATTATTGAAACATTAAAAATTAATTAAATAAAAGTATGTGTAATATAATATGGTAAATTTCTGTATTCATAAAGGTGCTAAGCCTTGCAATACACATTTGTCATTTAAATGTGTAAAAAAATTATTTTTCGCAGTTCATAAGTATCAACAATTTAATAGAAACAAAATATTATTGAATTGAGTGTTCAAATAGAACATTTATGTCTAATGATTTTTTATAACTATACAACAAAACCAAACCCAACTGTTCATAATTTAACATAAAACATTTAAATCTGAAATAAAAATATATATACATAAATTAATGTGTGTATAATTTTAAAATTATAGGTTAAATCATTGGTAACTAAGTCGAATGCTATTGAACATGACACTAAAAAAACTACTTCTTTTAAAAGTATGACTGAAGAAGTAGCTCATAATACTAAGATGATATTTATGCAGCCAATATTGAAGTATACGTGGATATCTATAGTGATCAATCTTAGTTTTCATATCGGGTATGTTAAGCTTATGATTGCTTGAAAAAGTTGAAAATTGCAATTGGTTTATTTTTTTTTTAGTTATTATGGTCTCATGATGTGGTTCCCAGAACTATTTAATAGATTTGATGAATATGCTCGAGCTCATAATGGTAGTGAACAAGCACTCGTGTGTGAAGTACGTAGCATTGATGATTTACTAATAAATTATTATTATAACTGTTATAACTGTGTATTATTTTATTTGTTGATTAAATAGGTGACTGAATTTGTAGTTAAAACAGGATCACACTCTCATGTGGACCTATGTTCAGACAAAATTGAAAGCGGCGTTTTCCTTGAATCATTTATTACAGTGGCAGCTGCCATTCCTAGCAATGTATTTGCAGTGTTGGGAATGGACACATTGGGCAGAAAATTCTTTTTAGGTACGTTTAAATTAACTCACTTTCTATAAATAATACTTATTAAAAAATGTCAATTAATTTTTTTATTCAGTATTCAGTACAATGGCATCTGGAATATGTGCTGTTGGATTGTCACTTATTACAAGTAAAAGACAAAATTTAATAGTATCTGCTATTTTTAGTAGTGCTATAAGTTGCGGTAATGCTGCTTTGGATTGTTTAATCACAGAAATTTTTCCTACAAATTTAAGGTAGTATAATGTGATTTATAGCTACAATATAAATTGTCATTGACATAAGAAGTCATAATGTAAAATATTTAATCATCATTTTTAAATATTAGAGCTACTGGAATGGCCATATCTATGGTAGCTGCCAGACTTGGAGGTATTATTGGAAATATTGTTATCGCTGCGCTGCTAGATCTCTATTGCCCATTACCTACTTACATTGTAGCTGTACTCCTGATAGGTATGACACAATTATGCAATATTAATATTCAGAAAACAGTAAGTATTTTATAACAATTTCTTTTTTTTATTTAGGCGGAGGGCTTTTGTGCCTATTGTTGCCTAATACCACGAGAGAACCATTAACGTGACCTATTTATGGAATAGATTATATAATAAACAGATTTAAGTCTATCATTATTATTTTATTTTCATTTATTGACATGACATTTTGTTAGTTTTAAAGCCTTTATAGACACATAATATGCACACTTATTATATATATAATGATGAAAAAAAAAGTTCTTTTAATATAATTGTATTTGTTGTTTACTGTATAATATGTATAATATGTGTACGCTAGTACATATATGTTTGTATAGATATTTTCCAGACAAAATTTCTAATATACTATTGTTTATTTTATTTTATTATTATTATAATATTTTTTTTTTTTTTACTGTGAATTTCTTGTGAATATACTGTTAACCTTAATATTTTAGATTCCGGTATTTAGTTAAGTTACTTTAAAACTTTAGTGTTAAAATTACATATATACAAACTAGTTGCTATTCTTAATTTTTTTTATGTTGTTTAGTCATAATTAAAAGTTTTATTTAATACCAAATAAAAGTATAAACAGTTATTTATCTTATAAAACTTTTGTATACAAATTAATGTAAGTTCTATTGGGTTAAGTATACATAACAGAAGATTAACACGCACATATATAGTATAATATATATATTTATAATCCAAAATGGTCCAATTAGTGGCGGTGTATGAAATAAATTTGGCCCTGGAATACTTTATGTCTTCGTTTGATAAATTTGTTGTCATGGACATATTAAGTGCAGTGACGCAACTAGTCCAACCATTTCCTAAAAAGTAACCCAATGGAGCTTTGCCCTCACCCCTATTTTTATTATAAAAATGAACAGAATACTATTGTGTGGTTTGCGGTGATATTGTTGGCATTTGTGTTGAATATGAGCATGTCACATGCATCACTTTACCGTGCTAAATGCTTTATTATTTGTTCATTTTGAATCGATATTAACAGTTTAGAAATTGCTTTATATTCAAAGCTCTAAGAGTGTTTTTTTTCTGGTCTTGAGGGTTACTTGTGATAGTGACATAGAGGAATGAGGATGTCTGGGTACTATTTGTTTTCTCTCTGCTGACCCAAGCTAAATGGCAAATTTACTATTAACAACCCTGTGTTATTATTTTTAATATTGGAGTGAATTCACCTATAATCAAACTTTAAGCTAAGAACATTACCTGAATCCTTACATTGTCTATTGTATGATATTATAATTTTATGTATGTTATGAGCGTGTAAATTAGTACAATACAAAAATGCTTATACTTTTTAAAAAATTAAAATAAAGTATTAAAGTCAATGTAAGTATACATATAATATTCTTAGTTTAAAGTTTGATAGTAGGTGAATTCACTTTAGTATTAAAAGTAACAACCCTGGGAATACTTGATTGGTTCTGCTGAACATAAATTTGCTATATTGCTCGTTAGTCTAAGAGAGAGAACGAATGGTGCTCTGACATCTTGTTAAGTGATTGTAAAAGGCTCATGTGTACATATGCTTGCATTTTTTCACTATTCTTAGAACATGTACTCCTAAATAAGTAATAGGTAATTACGAAGCAGACTAAGGGCCAGTTGTACCATCTCCGATTAAAGTTAACCGAAGTTCTCAAAGTTAAAAAACAAAAAAACTAATATTACATAGAAATAATGCCACAGATACTTATAAATACGTCCAGTGATTACTGAGGCAATATAAATTCTACCATGGTATAATAAAGTTATTATTCTGTCTATGGGTGAATATAAATAAAGGGTAGGTTTTGTTTGTTGTATTGACATTACTATATACTTAATTGTTAATTATCTCGTATACCTATTATGTTAATAGAAACATTGTATATGTCTAAATAATTATTGGAGGAATGTATCAACTGACTAATAAAACCTTGCCATTAAAGATTTAAAGAAATGAAACCTCAAGATAAAATATATCTAATGTATGATGAATGAAAATTGTTTGAAACTTAAACCACAATATATTTTTCGGACTAACGGATGCAGAAAAAGTCTGTGGCAGTGTCCTTAAAATATTCAATTGAAAATGTTTTCAAATTCTATCAACTATGCAAGACTACGTGAGTATCATACATATAGGTACATTTGATTTTTTTTATGTATGTATATTGTATATAGTTTTATATATTATATGTTATAAAATAACAGAGTTTGAAAAGTAATTTTTTTGTGTATTACACTTTGGAAAACATCATCATTCATTGTGCTGCTTAGACAGATATATTTTTTTTGTTGCTGAAATGTCCCATAAAATCGATTATTCATACCACATTTGCCATTGGTCACTACGCACACTTGACACTCGTGTATTTATATATGATGTAGGTGTAAGCGCAAATGATGTTCAAGATTTGGAGAAGTGCAGAAGCTCATGTAGGTCTTTACCGGACTTGAATAGTAGGTAAGGGGCTCTTCTGGTATTACAAAACCGTCAAAACCCATGAAAAAATGTAAATGTGTGAAATCTTCAGGTTATTTTTGGGGGCTATATAACAGTCAGGTTATGAGGTTGTGGGGCTTGGCCATCCGTTATTAGTGCCTACGATAATTCGTCAATATATAGATTATAGATGTAACCAAAATCTGAATACTGATCGACTGGTTCGATCGTATATTAATACGATCCCCCTCTCGGGTCCGCCCTTGTGGAGGGTATTCAATAACTGAATGGTTCACCCTAGTCTTAAATGTTAAAACTTAAGCACTTCCGCTTCATAGGTTAATTGCAAGGTAAAGTGAAGAAAAAAATACAATTTTCCGATGGAGAAATATTAATAGAAGAATACCATTTATTATTAAACCACATGGAATAATACATCTAAAATTATAAACTAATAAATAATAATGGTCGATCACCAGGTTTTTATTATTTTTGATGAAACTCACTTATTGGAAAAGGTTGGTGACACCTAGTTTAGTGGTATAGCGTATTAGGCTATTAGCGTATACATTATAGTATTATACCTTCATTTACTGATATACTTGAAAAGTTGAAAGCACTACTCTTTTATACCAATTTTTCACAACATTTGCAATATAGGACCAACTTTTCCTTCTCGTTAAAATGTTTTAGAAGGAATTTTTTTTAAATATTCTGCTATTATTACGGGAATTTTCAACTTCGGGAATTATAACAAATGTGAAAAAAAAATTACATTAATTTTTATAAGGACCCAAGCTGTTAGGTAATGTGTGATAGACGATAGTGAAATGAAGAAAGTTAAATAAAACAAAAATACTCCAAATATTTACAAAACAATATGTAAACACAAAATATTTATTTATTAATTCATTTGTTGGTATTAACGAGCATCTGCCCTTTTATAAAATATGCACAGACTTATGAAAAAGTTGTAACTTTAACCTAAAAATCAATATAATATAATAAATAATCATTAAATAGAATCAAGTTACATAAGGATAAATTCATAATATGAATATTCGCTCTTGAAAATGGTAAAGGGTACTGATACATTTCGTGTATTTTGATGTGGAATTCGAAAAATAATTACAAACAATAACTTGAGGCACACAAAATATATAGGGAACAAGATCAATAAACCTTAATCATGATATCAGAACTTGGGTTTAAAGAGGAAGTGAATCCAGGGCAGTATATGATATTGGATCAGCTGAATGGAGTCCCTAATAGATGCGGGAATATTTGTCATAAAAGAGACATTTAAAAAAAAATCATACAAAACATTCCATTAATCATTTATGAATGACAAATGCTAAATAATAGCATATGAGAGGCATGACTAAAAAGGATTAAGGATTTTATAAATATTTAAAAATTTTATATATTAAAACTTAACATCCTATCAGATTGATTTATTTTAAACTTATGATTAATTTTAAGATTGATCAACTAAATATGCAAGATTAAATTAGCACCAGCCACCAATATACTCAGAAATGTATGAAATATATATTTAGGTACTCATATGGCTATATTTAACCAAATATCAAATATTACAACTATATGAACATAAATCGGGTAAGTAGATGTCACTCTACTGTCAGTAGGTTACAACTTAAAGTGATTCACTGTAATGGATGGTGCTAAATTTTAATTCAATGAAAAAAAATCATTATGTACGAAAAACAATTCTGATTGAAGACAGCCAGCCAGCCTATAATATTACTAAGAAGGTATATTTTATGATATTATTGTAATTAAAGTAATTTATTTTAGTGTACTATATAATAGTCATTAGCATGAAGATAGTTGGTTAAATCAATTTTTGTCTATAAAAAAATGCATTTGAAAATGTAATTGTGTGTATAAAATATAATACTTGCTTAGATACTCTGAAAGTTTCAAGTACCCACGAATAATATTTTTAAATTACTACATTATAATTAAAATCGTTATTCTTGGTTGAATGATTTTGTCCAAATTTGAACTTAAAATAACTATGAAAATAAGCTATGTTTATCTATTTTTTTAGATTTTTTGGTTACAGAATTCATTACTTGCATGTGCAACCTTGTTTTAAATTAATTTGACGATCTGGTAAACTTTTTTGTTGTTAAATGTAGGATAATTTTAAGGGATTTTTATATTAAATGTTCAAAGCTTAGGTATAAATAGAACATTTTTTATGCATTTCTAACTCAAAATCATTTTCAAATGTTCATGATTTTCCGACTTGTGTAAAAATACGAACTTCAGACGCTCATATACAATTATTGTTGATTTAGACTGATTTTTTTTCAATTTCCACTTACAAAAATATATGAAAAATCTTGTGTAACATTTTCAAGTTTTTTTTATCGACATTAACTGAAAATTTAATATGTCTATAAATAATTCATGAAAAAATATTTTATTTTATTTTTTAAATATTATGGTGTATAGAAAATACTTATATAAACATTTAGTGAAAATGTCATGCATGTACTGTTATTTTTTCTAGAGTTACATCAAAAACCGAAATTGATATTGTCGAAAACCGATTTTGCGTAGAAATCCCCGTTTTTCCTTATTTTTTTCTGTTTTTCCAGGTGCTTTAAAAACTACTGTGATTTTTAAATTTGGACCTTTCGATTGTACCAATTAGATTTTCTTTCCCACCGGAAAAGATACTGAAGTAAAAAATCGAACCATTATTATTACGACTAATTACCGTGTACACATACACACACACACACACATAAAAACATTATTGTAAAATCAATACATTTATCGCTTCTCTCAGAATCTAAAAATACGTAATAACAATAAAATTTGTTCCCTAGTTATTATTTTAACTATATTTTTATTGAATTTATATATAATTACCACACGCGTTTACTATATTGGATTTCCTACTGGC